TCTCTTTGTCTGTCCCTCTTCTCCTCATGCACGTACAGACACTCACTCCTGTGCCCCTGCCATTTGCTGGACCTTGAATCACCCAGACTGCAAGTTCCTATACTTTCTGGTGTCCTGGGTCTCTCACTCCCCAGAGTGGGTCTGGCACTTAGCACTTAGGCCCAGCCTCTCTGAGGACCTTCTCTGGGGGTTGGGACTCCTCCCCTTTCTGCTGTGGCCAGAGCCTGGGGGCACTTGGTGTCATCTGTCCCCACACACCCCTCCCTCTGCCTTCTGTAGAGGGCCTGTCTGGTCAGCGGGGGGCAGCTGTGTGGATGGCCCACCTTTGTGCCTCCAGGCCGAGGCTCGTGCTGGACACCTGATGCCCATGCTGGGCAGGTTTGCTGAGTTCTGGAATTCTTCCTGTGGCCCCTTGGCCGGAGGACAGGCATACATCTCAGTGGCCTGCCTCCCCCAGTCTTTGGCCCACCAGGGCTGTCGGTGTAAAGAGTTTGGGCTGGCAGGGCTTATTTTGGTGGTGTGAGTGGTGATGGTGTGAGTGTGTAATCTTAGCGGGACACCATAAATAGTTAATTGGCACTTCTTTGCCATCGGGCTCGCTCTCTGCCCTCCCTTCCCATTCCTCAAGGTCTGTGCTGTCCCTACGGGCAAGTGGCTGGTGAGCACTGAAAATGTCACATTTGAGATATGCTGTAAAAGTGTAAAAATATGCTAGATTTCAAAGGTTTGGTATGGAAAAAAAAATCGCATTAATACTGTTCTATGTTGATGACATCCTGAAATGATAATTTGGTTATGCCAGATTAAATACAGTATTTAATTTCACCTGTTTCTTTTTGTTTATTGGGACAGAATTCACATAAGCTCAACATTACCATGTTAGCCACTTTACGGTGTATCATTCAGCAGGCTACAGTATGCTCATGATGTGGTACAGCTTTCAGCACCATCTCATTCCAGAACATTTTCATCACCCCCTAGAGAAATCCTGCACCCATGAAGCAGGCGCTCCCACTTCCCCTTTCTCCTGCCCCTGGCTCCCACTAATTTACCTTCTGTCTCTCCAGATTTGCCTGCTCTGGGCATTTCTTATCTGCAGAATCCTACATTTTGTGGCCTTTGTGCCTGGCTTCTTGCACTCAGCATAGTGTTTTCAGGGCTCACGGCATGTGTCAGGGTCTCATTCCTTTTCATGGCTGCGTAATACTCCACTCTGGCTGCGCCATGTTTATCCATTCTTCACTTGATGGACATTTGAGTTGTTTCCACCTTTTGGCAGTTATGAATAATTCTGCTGCGGACGTCTGGGGACAAGTGTCGGACGAACATATATTTGTGATTCTCTTGGGTATAAACCCAGGAAGAGGAGTACTGGGTCATGTGACAACTGTTTAACTTTTGGGGAAATTGCCAAGCCGCTTTCCACAGCGAGTGAGTGCCATTTCCCATTCTCCTCAGCTGTGTCTCAGGGTTCCAGTTTCTCTGCACTTTCTCCACATCCTTGTCCATACTTATTTTCCTTTTTGCTTTTTATTTTTAACTTGCAGCCCCATCAGCGTGTGTGACATGGTATCTTCTTGTTTGGATTTGTGTTTCTGGGGATGGTGGGCATTTCTCTGGTGCTTATTGGCCATTTGTGTATCATCTTTGGGGGAATGTCTGTGCCAATCCTTTACCCAGTCTGTTTCTCTTCACTTTAATGTGACTACTAGAAATGGTGAGCTTTCCATACGGGACGGACATTTCCTTTCTCTTGAATAGGGCTGCTCTGGGAGGTTTTAAAATTGGTGAGGGGGACGGGGAAGAAGAAGGAATATTTCATATTCTTCCTTCATTTTCCGTGTCCTTCACAGGTCACCAAGATTGCTTTCCACTTTGAGGTCCTCTCCCCGAGGCACTAACAGGAGGGTCATTACATAGAGCTTCTCCAGGCACCGTGGGGTCAAGGGTTAGATGGTCTGAGGGGCCTGTGAGTCCGGCTTAAGTGAAAGGGGCCTCTGGCCTTCAAAGCAGATTATTTCAATGAGCAAAACAGAGCAGTGGAGGGGGCCTTTTCTCCTTTATCACGTGATCTGCGTACCCCTGGCAGTGAGCTTTCCAAAAGTTAGGATTTTAAAAAGTTAGTCATTTACATTTTATGGAGATTTTAAAGTGGTAGAATTTATTGTCAAATTACTGCTTTGAAAATTTACGAAATGTTAAGCTGCTTTTTCTTGGAATCTAACGCGGAAATAACTTGATCAAATATACTCGTTTCTCAGAACAGTTGTAATATGTTTGTGCATGGGTGATTCATCCTGCAGTCTTCTGAGTTCAGTTTCCAGTTACGTTCTGGTGGCATTAGTGATGTTGAGCGTCCCCGGGGACGGTCCACACACCCTGGGAAGTGCAACTTCTCCCAGAGTTACTCCGACCAAAATGTGAGAAATTAGCTCAACAGATGACTGGATAAAGAGAATGTGACAGCTACATAAGGGTTGTTTAGAGTAGAATATAAAATTCATTTTAAAATAATACTGTTTAATGCAGATTTTTTTTTATTGAATCTCCAAAAAGCTAGAAGCATTTTCATTGTTCCCTGAAAATGATTTAACAAGATTTTCAATAAATACAAAACTGCATGTAAAAGATCTTGATGGCGCCTTATGATCCTTTTCTCATTTACTTCCGTGCCGACTGTACTTTTTCGTGCATAAGTAAGCAGGTGGGGGAAGATAACTAAAATATCTTTTCTTTGGAAGATTAGAGTTGCATGGGAGACAGACATTTCCTCAGATAGTTAGCAGACTCCAGTGTGGGGTTTTTGGAGTGAGGCTAAGGGGAATGAGTGGAGAAGGAATGATTGAGAATGTCCTGGGGGCGCCTGGGTGGCTCAGTTGGCGAAGCCTCCAGCTCCTGGTTATGGCTCAGGTCCTGATCTGAGGCTCATGAGATCGAGCCCTGTGTTGGGCTCCATGCTGGACGTGGAGCCTGCTTGAGTTTCTCTCTCCCTGTGCCCCCTCCCCTCATTCCCCTGCCCCTGCTCTTGTGTGCTTTCTCTCTGAAGACATATATATATATGGATGGATATATGAATGGAATCAGACAGTATTTGTCCTTCCGTGACTGGCTTATGTGACATCGCACAGTGTGCTTGAGGTTCATCCACGGTGTAACAGCATGTGGCAGACATTTTTATTTTATTTTATTTATTTATTTATTAAGATTTTGTTTATTTGGGAGAGAGAGCATGAGAGGGAGGAGGGTCAGAGGGAGAAGCAGACTCCCTGCCGAGCAGGGAGCCTGATGTGGGACTCGATCCCGGAACCCCAGGATCATGACCTGAGCCGAAGGCAGTCGCTTAACCAACTGAGCCACCCAGGCGCCCAGACACTTTTTTTTTTTTTAAGGCTGCATGATATTCCGTTGAGTGTAGCTGCCACATTCTCTTTCTCCAGTTATCTGTTGAGGATGGGTTGCTTCTAGCTCTTGGCTGTCGTAAGTAGCGCTGCTATGAACACGGAGGTGCGAACATCTCTTCAAGATTCTGCTTTGAGTTCTTTTGGCTCCAGACTTAGAAGTGGGAGCATGGGATGCTGTGGTCTTTTGTGTCTGTGTTTAGCTTGTGCAAGTCTCTCCTGAGTGCAGCAGGCCTCCCCTGCGCTCTGCCCATCCGACTCCCTGCTGCGTGTACCACTGCGGGGTCTCTGCTCTCCCCCGCCCGCTAGGGTATCTGCAGACACTCCTCTTGATAATCTTTCCCTGAGATACCATCGCTGTGACTTACTTCCTTCTGTACCAGGAAATGTTCCGAGTCCTCAGATCTCCCAAAATAAACATGATTTGTTTGGCCACATTTCATTTCTGGGCACACCCCTGTACTCCAGAAAGCTCTGTCCAAGCCACAGAAAAACTAAGGGCTGGACAGAGGTCCAGGAGGAAGCCAGAGGCGCAGACGTAGGCGATGGCGCGGTTGTCATGGTCCCCCGTTAGGCAGGACCCGGGCGGAAACGTGTCCCCAAGTTGCGGGCCGCGTGTCCTGGGTCTGGTATCTTGCAAGCTTTGTGGCTCATGACACGGTATGAAATGTGCACATTTCACGGTGTGCACAGCTCTGTGTGTGTACAAAACAGCAGCCCTGTGATGTGCTGTAATAGTGAAGATTCCAGGCCCCTCTTTGTCAGGTTTTTGTTTGCTCTAGCCTGGTATCCTGCTGGGGGGGGGGGGGGTTAGATTCCAGTTCGGCAAGTAGCAAGCAACAGCTTGCTTTCTGGATCAGGCTTTGCCTGTTGGCTGTGAAGAAAGCCCTGTGGCCTTGAGTCTCTTAAGCAATCTGTGCCTCAGTTTCCTGCCCTCTAAAATGGGATAATGTGCTGCCCGCCTCTTAGAACCCGGGGTGAGGAGTGAGTGAGTGAGTGGAGTGCAGAGCTCAGAAGGGCACCTGGTGACCATGGCCACTCGCTCACGGGCTGCTTGTGACATACGCTCCACACTCCCTTTCCTCACTTCCCCTCGGTTTTCACTGTTCCCCTGAGTCCTGTATTGTTCCTTCCTCCTCCTCTGTTTTCAGCCTCCCCGGCTTGCTGTCACTTCGTGTGAGCCCTCTGTCCTCCCCACCCCCACTGGCGGTAAGGAGCCCTTCCTCTGCTCTGCTCCCCACCATGGGGTGCAATCGGACCAGTGGCTCAGGACGTGGCTGCGCCCGGCCCCCCAGAGAAAGTCCAGCTTTCATGGAGGGGAGTGCGTCTGGGGCGAAACAGCCAGAGGATCCATTTAGCCCTTGCTCGGGTTACAGGCTGTTGTTGGGACAGCAAACCTCTCACCATGTGAGCGCCTTTTCTGGCTGCAGCGGCATCTGAGAGCTCAGCGGGAGAGCTGTGCCCAGTCCCTCCGACAGCTGCTGGGGTGTGGCGGGGGGAGGGGTATTGATGCTCCCTTTTCCCAACGGGATCGTCTTATCAAGGCTCTTCTAAGTTGTTAGGTTGCGGGCACATTTCATTCTGTGTTTATCTTCCTTGCAGGCCGTTTTGGTGAATAATATCACCACAGGTGAGAGGCTCATCAGAACCCTGCAAGGTGAGTTCTGATCCCCTCCTTTACACCAGATGTTAGGGCTTTTAGGAAAAGCCCGCCTTTCCTCTTGTCCCTCTCTAGCGGCTCTCATTCTAATCTAATGATGGGTAAGATCACGAGTAATTGAGTAATCTTTATTGTATTCTTCTTGCCAAATTACAGTTCCTTAAAGAGCTTTTTCCTTTTAAAAATGTTGCTGAACACATTGTAAGGTGTTAGGTACAGAATTCAGATTCTCAGTTTTTGGTAGGTTAAGAAGTATACAGAACAGATCACCTATCACATATATATAAAATATGTGTGGTATATATAGGATTTGTTTTAAATGGGCCACCCTGAATTCAGATTTCCTTTATGAAAATTATAAAAATTATCTAGCCCAATTTAATTCCATTTCTTTGCTGCCCTGATTCAGTTTGGTAGCCAGGGCTGGTTTCTGTCAGGCCCTGGGAAGCAGTGGTTGAGGGCAGTCACGGGGTGAGCCCGTCTGTGGTCGGCTCCCCCTTCGGCTGTGACTGAGGGGCTCAGCAGGCCCTGGGTGGTCCTGGGGCCTGGTGAAAGGGGGTCCCATGAGGCCGACCTTTGCCGGGGGTAGGAAGCTCCCACGGACCCTGCATCCTCACTTCTGCCTCTGGGACGGGAAGGTCTGTCTAGAGCCGCACCATCCAGAGTGGTGGCCACGAGCCATGTGGCCAGTGAACCCCTGAAACGTGGCTAGTGGGATGGAACTAGATTTTAAATTTTTGTGTAATTTTCAGTGATTTAAGTTAGAGACTGAAACTTAGCTCTGTTATTGGGAGCACTAAGCATTTACAACTTACATATTAATCTACTTTTTAACTGTACATTTGATGAAAACCTAAATTCAGATCAAGCATTGAGGTGAAATGGAATTAAATGTGCAGATTTAACGTCTGGATTGAGATGTGCTCTAATTGTACACACCAGATTTCAAAGACATAGTATGAAAGAATATAAAATACCTCATTCATGATTTTTTTATATTCATTATGTGTTAGCATGGAATGTTGCTTAGCTGTTGGGTTCAATCAAATGTATTATTAAAAGTAATAATACACCTGGTTTAGATCTTAGAAATGTGGTTGCTAGAAAAATTACATGTCTTGCCTTGTAGTTCCGCTGGATGGTGCTGGCCTAGGATTCTCGTTCCACATCTGGTTCTAAGACTATGAGTAGGGGAGATTCAGGGTTCTATGAAGTTACATGGGTCACTGGACTGCTGGGGGCTTTGTAGAGCTCCCCTTTCTTGTCTGGCCTTCTGAGATTCATCCACGTTGTGGATGTCAGTAGATTATTCCTTCTGTTGCCGAGCAGTATTCCCTGGCCCCATACTTGGTTTGATTATGGGGTTTTTTTTTAAATGTGTGGTTTATTGAGGTGTAACTTACACCCAGTAAAGTGTACCCTTTGTGGTATAGAGTTCTGTGTTTGGACAAATGCACAGTCTCCTGGACCACCACAGCCACAACCAGACCCTGTCCCTCCAGGAAGTGCCCCCCTAACCTTTTGTAGTCGGTCCCCTGCCTCAGCCTCCAGCACCCCGGGTGGTTCTACGACTCTAGAGTTTAACTCTTCGAGCATCTCCTAGAACTGCTTGTGAGATGGAGCCTTGTTGCTGTCTGTTTGGCATTTCATTGAGTCCTTCACTTTCATTTCATTTTCCCCCCAGAGAGCCCTGTAGGTGTAGAGTTACGGGGACAAACCTTGGGGATGCGGGTGCGTGTCCGGGGCTGAGTCCCAGGCCCCGGTGGCGGCCTTGTGGGTCCACTCTGCTCTCACCTCTGTGGCAGCCTTGGTCTGGCCCTTGGTCAGCAGCTGCTATTTTTGCAAGGCTTTTAGGAGCCGAGAGGTCAGGGCAGCAGGACTGGCTGATGAATCTCCTCAGGGAGGCTGCCGTTTCCCAGATGGGGGCAGGGGAGGTGGGGTGATTGGATGAGCACGGGCCTCCAGGAATGGCCGGTGTGGACGAGTGGGAGGAGGGGGCGGCCGGCAGGTAACCTGGAGGCCCAGGACGGGGGTCCACCATGAGTGGCTGCTTACCTGAGCAGATGTTGAAATCCATGTTTCACAGGCTGAAGTCTGCTGGGGACTAGGGGACATGGTGGGACAGCTTAGGGTTTAGTATGTCTAAGAAACACCTGAACAGAACCTCCCTAACACATGTTAAAGGTCAGAGGTCAAAAAAGCGATTTAAGAGAGAGGTTTGGAAAAGAGGGTGCAGATTCCAGTTGGGTTGCAGATTCCCAAGGCTTCTCCACGGTTCTGGACTGTTCTCATCCCTCTCTCCTCCCCACCCTTACTCTCCTGTGTGCCATTACCCACTGTGTTCTGACACGTCTGCTTTTGTCATGACGGCCATGCCTGCGACCCGCCGGATTCTGGGCCGTCCTCTTGCCTCAGACCAGTTGAAGGCCCTGCAGAAGAACTACGGCAGGCTGCAGCAGGATGTGCTCCAGTTCCAGAGGAACCAGACCAACCTGGAGCGGAAGTTCTCCTACGACCTGTAAGCGTGCCTCCGTGTGCGGGGCGCACCCCCGGGGGGGCTGCCGTGGGGGTGGGGGGGTGTGTGCGCTGCACCCGCCCTTCCCGTCCTGGCACGTTGGCGCTCTGCAGGAGGCCCAGTGCACTTTATTCTGTACGCGTGAGCCGTGCCTCAGAAAGCTGGGCGAGAGGGTTAGCCAGTGGCTCATGATACAGGATGCACAGGAGGGCGGTGTTCCTGAGCAGGAAATGACTTATCAACATGCTTTGTAAAGTCACGTTAAGTTTTAAAGTGCAGGTGTACCAGGTAAGTCAATAATGGAAAGCCTTTAAAAATGTCTGAGCACAGAAGTGTTCAGACGCGCCCCATGTCCACTGCCTAGACTGAGAGGCGTCTTGGCATCCTATCAGTGATTTATCTCTGGGTGTCAGCATGTGGACATTCTGTTTCCGTGAGACTTCTAGTGTCTTTCCATATTTCTGCAGTGAGAATGGAGCACTTTTATTTTTCAGCTTTATTGAAGTATGAGTGACAGATACTTATTATATATTTAAGGTATAAAACATGAAATTTTGATATGCCTCTACATTGTGAAATCATGTCCCCGATGAAGCTAATTAACCATAATCTTCGTGCATGTGTGGTGAGAACACTTAGGATCTACGCTTTCAGCACATTCCAGGTGTATGTTATTAGCAACTGTAGTCCCCATGCTGCCCATTCTCTCCCCAGCTTACAGTTAGGACCGTCCATTTGAAAAGGATGATAACTTCAGTTGCATGCAAAAACCCTACACATTTACTTCTCAGAGAATTTTTTTGACCAAGAAAAACAATAAACTTTCAAAAGGTTAGCTAAACCCTATAGTAAGATAGTAAAAACCAATTTAGAGAGCGGAGAATAAGTTCTAGTCTGTGTGTTTTTTTTCCCCCCATAAAAGCAGCATGACTCAGGCACAGGGGTTCTGGGATTCAGAAGCAACCAGCCACCTGTGAGCCCAATCCTCTTTTCCATTTGCGACTTCTCCATAGTCCATGTCCAAGGTCATATGGATTTTTCACATTATTGCAGTCACCAGTAACATTTTTAAATCGTTGCTTTCCACTTACTTATGTATAAATAAAAGTCCATACTGCTCCAAAATGTAGTATCATTAAAAGTGGCTGGTTAATATTGTGGAGGCACGGAATTTAATTCATGATTTCCCTGTTTTGGATATTTAGGTTACTTCTGAGTTTTGATTATTATAACTAGCCTGATATCAGTGTGTGTAACTTTTCAAGATTATTATTTTGGATTATTTCCTTCTAAAATAGGACTCGGCTGTAGGTTCAGTGTCATAAATTGCCTAGTTGCCTTCTGAATAAGTTTCCTCACCCCACTGCCCTCATTGGGATTCTGAGGTCCTTCCAAAAGATTGTCCACTCACTGTGATATCTTCCTGATTACTTTAAAACCAAAATACTACTAAAACCAAGAAGCCCCAAATATATAAATATGCAGAGGACATGCACCAACAGTCAATACCAAGGGAAAAGTAATTCGAAAATATGCATTTGGAACCTTCTTCAGCTAGGCCAGTGGTTCTCAATTTTGGGTGGCAATTTTGCTCCCAGGAGACCTTTGGCAATGTCCAGAGACCTGCGGCCAGCATCCTGCAATGCACAGGGCAGGCCCCATAACAGAGTTTTCTCTGGCCTCAAACCCGGTAGTGTTCAATTGAGACCCCTGAGCTAGGCTAGTAATCAACAAGGTACATTCAGACAAAAATGAAGACGGCCCCAGTCTAATTATCATTCATCTTTAGAAGATACCTTCACACAACTTTCCCTTCCATTCATTGAAATAGGATAAGCCATTAATGGCCTCACTTGATAAATATTGACCCAGAAGATGTTGACCTAGCTGGAAATGAGCAATCCGCCAGGCCCGGTGACGGGGAGGGCGGTTCTGCGCCCCATGTCGGGGCAGACAGCAGAATGGCTAGGCATGCTGGACTCGCCCTTTTTCTCTTAGGAGGTTGGTGGCTAGATTGAAACTCTTTCTGACTGATGTCAGTATTGAGGTAGTTGTGCCCGAAGTGTTATACCAGATACAGTGTGTTTCCTGGGGATGATGTTCATGGAATGTTGGAAGCTTGAAAGAGTTATTCTTACTGCCTTTGGATTATAGACCCTTTCTGAGAATCTGATAAAAGGTACGGACCCCTTGTTAGCAATATCTGCAAAGTTGTGCATTCAGTTTGTGGGACATCAGAAGCTTCCCTGCACACCCTCTGTGAAAGCATCCTGTTGGGTCTAAACCCTTTATAGAAGGCAGTGCTGGGAGTCAGCTGACAGCAAGGCCAGGTTTCCTGAAGCAGAAGTTAGTTCTTCCATATCAGCGTCCCCGCTTCTCACTCCTACACCTGCGGCAGACATCGCTAAGTGATCACTGTTCTTGGTCATTCTTGGTGCACACGCTGCCTTGCAGGCTTTCTGCCCAAAGCACTTAGGGTTGGTTTCTCACATGAACTGCTTGTCATCTCCTTTCCACACCATGAGGAAATAGTTTGCAAAAGCTGTTACTGGAATAGAACAGCACTGCTCTGATGCTTGGCATCCTGGATGATCGGGTCGCCCACCTTCATAGATTCCCGTATGGCGTACATTCCATTTTCAGTACTCCACCCATCGATCGCACCGGTTAGAATAACCCTGGCGGCAGGTCCTGTGTGTCTCTGCGGTGTAGCTCTAGTTGATGACTGAACGGTTACCATGTGCATGGAAGCAGAAGCTTACCTGAGGCCTTCGGGAAGTCACACCATCACCGTCCACATGAACTGAGTCACAGGATTTGAGCTTCGTTCTGAGGTTGTTCCCTTCCTGCTGTGGAGCTAGAATGTGGAAAGCTGGCCTTCACCTGCAGGGCTGGGAGAGAGAGGCTCTTTGTACTTGATTTTGGCAGGGCTGAGAGCAGGTGAAAACAGTACAGATTTCCCATTTGTAGGTTTTTAAAGGTTCAGGAATGGCTATGCCCCTGTTCATTGGCTGGTCCTGAGCTTCTGGGGTACCATCTGCTAACAGTGAACTGGCATGTTTAGTACATTCAGGATATAGATGTCTCTGTGTTTGAGCTACTGTGGACTAGTCTACCACCTGTGACTTGCGTGTTTGTGAGAATTTTATTTGAATGAACTTTTCAGCAAGTCTTCTCTTGATCTGTATGCTGTCCAAGGTCCGGAAGTCTGTCTTTCACTCTTTCTGCAATACCTGATGCCCTTCTCTGCGTGTTCACGGAGACCCACAGAGTCCTTTGAACTGCAGGTCACGCGTTACAAAGTTAGGGGCTGAGTGCCACACAGCTGGCTCTGAAGGGCCTGTGACCCAGAAGAGAGCGCGGCGCAGAGCCAGGAAACCTCACGTCGGACTTCTGCTTTCAGCCTTATCATTCTGTCTCTCTCTGACCCTGGTCACCTCCCAGCTTCCTTATGTGTACAAGTGGGTAATTCTCTCAATTACTTTACAACCCTGACACCCAAGATACTCTTAAATTCTAGGCTGAAATGTGCAGTGATGCCTCAGAATATCTTAGCTAAATGGGGGCTCAGTCTGACTTAGTGATGAACTCCATCAACAACTCTCTGATACTGGCTTGGCGTCCTCCAGTCAGTTCCTTTTTATTTTTATTTTTAAAAAATGAATCTTAAATTTTGGAACAGTTTCAGATTTACAGAATTATTATAAGAGTTCCTGTATACTGCAGACCCAGTTTCCCTGTTAACACTTGACATTGTTATTTGGCACAGTTAATGAACCAGTATGGATATATCATTATTAACTAAAGTTCCTACTTTATCTGTGTTTCCTCAATTTTCCCCTAATGTCCTTTTTCTTTTCCAGGGCCCCACATTCCATCTGTTCACGTTTTCTCAGAGTCCTCTTGGCTATGACCGTCTTTCAGACTTATTTTTTATGATCTTGATAGTTTTGAGGAGTGCTGGTCAGGTGTTTTGTAGAATGTTTTCCAGTTGGGATTTATGTGGTGTTTTTTTCATGGTTAAACTGGGGCAGCACATTTCTGGGAGGAAGGCCACAGAGGTAAAGTGTCACTTTCATTACTTTGTATTAGGGGTACATACCATCCATGTGACCTGTCGCTGTTGATGTTAATCTTGATTACCTTGCTGAGGTAAGGTTTGTCTGGTTTCTTCACCATAAAGTTACTCTGGTATTTCTCCCTCTGTACTGTAGTCTTAGGAAGGAAGTCAGCATGTACAGCCCACACCTAAAGATTGGGGAGTTATGCTCCATTTCCCAAGGGCAGAGTGTCTGTATCAACTGTTTGGAATTTTCCTGCACAGTAGACTGTGCAGGAACTTTGTAACTTCAAGTTATTTATATCAATATGGACTTATGAATATTTATTTTAGACTTCGGGTTATAATCCTGTACTATTCTAATTTTTGCTCCCATTGTTCCAGCTTTGGTCATATCCCCAGCATTGTGCCCCTGCCCCCTTTTTGGGCACTTTGTTTGTTATACAATCTGGCACCAAAAGATGCTGCAGGTTCATCCCTTGTATATCCTGTTCCAATCCTAGTATCACCCAATCAACCATTTCTTTTTTTTTTAATTGGAGAGTGATATTAAGCCAAGATCTGGGTAGTAGGTGTGTTTGTTGCTGCTGGCGTGTGATTGTTTCTGGGCCCTATCAGCTGCAGAGTAAAGAGACCTGTGTGTGTACTAACCTGTGTTATATACAGACATTGATGAATATTTCTATAGGTTTCCAGCTGTATTCATACTAAACCAAGCATAAGTTCATACTGGTGTCTCCAATTCTAATCTAATTAACTACTGATCTAGTTAACAGAATAGTATATAATAATAGTATATATGGTCTCAACTTGGGACAATATGCAATTATTATTTTGTGGCTCAAAATATTTTTAAAACTGCCTGTGGCAAAGACTGGCCATTGCTTATCCAGATCCATTATTTTCTCCCCCAGTGTAATTCCTGCATTTCCAAACCCTCCTTGCAGTTAAGTATGGCCCCGTGACTAAGCTCTGGCCAGTGGGGAAAGGAAATGGTAGTGCAGGACTGTAGGAAGGCTTCTGAAAGTGAGGATGGTCCACTGTAACCCTTCTCCTTTACCTTTCCCCCTCATTCCTTCCTGCTGCCTGGGACTCATGCAAGAAGATGGCTGGGCCACTATGGCCATCTTGGATCATGAGGCTAGAAACCAGTGCCAGGATCATGAAACAGAAAGAGAAGCCTGTATCACTGATGACTCAGAGCTGCCATCCTGGCGCTGGGCGACTTATATCAGACTTTGATTTGTGGAAGAAGCAGATTGCTATCACTTGCCCTTTCTGTTTCACCCAGCCAAACCTGATACGCTAACTTACCCACTTTTTGAAAATGCCTTTAGATACTGTTCTTAAACAGTCATTTTCATGAATCTTTATCTGTTACCCAAAAAAAGACTTCTTAGGGAAGGTCATTTAGAATGGAATCCTACCAAGTGGAGAGTAGAGAAGGGAGGCTAGGACTTGTGCTGGAAAGAAGGAGGACATGAGGAGCTCGGAGTGGTCTGGGCGAGGCAGACTGTATGCTGTGGTCCCCGAGATGAGTGAAGAGTAATATTTTGGGCATGGTTGTAAAGGTGACTAGTTATGTGGGCCCTGCTGGGAAAGTCTTCTTCTCCTTCCTGGATTCTGAGGACAGGGATGTTAGATCTCTGTCATAGTCGTGCAGATCCCCCAAGCAGGTTTGTTTGTTTTTTTCTTTTTTTCCCCCAGTCTGTTTTCTCTCTGTTACTTTGATTGGGTAATGTCTGTTGTTCTGTCTTCCAGTTCAAAGATCTTGCCTCCATTCTGCTATTTGCACTCATTCCTTAAGTTCTTTAATTTTGGTCATTGCATTTTTCAGTCCCACAGACTCTCCCCTCTTCAGATGATACCCACAAGTTCCAGGTGTCCCCAGGGCATCTGTACTCTGCCTCCTCACTGCAAGTTCAGTGCCTCCTGAACCCCTCAGGGTTGGTAATTCTGTTAGGATGACTCACAGAACTCTGCCCAAGTGCTGTACTCATGACTACAGTTTTATTATAAGGGCTGTATCTCAGGAAGAGCTATATGGTAGAGTCTTGGTTGTAGGGCAGTTGTAGGGGAGACAGCTCCTTTCCTGGTGGAGTTGTGGTGCCACAATTCTAGTACATTGATGTTAACCAACTGAGAAGCTTGCCAAGCCTCATCACCCAGAGATTTTATCTGAGGTTTTACTACATAAATTCCATCGCTACTTTCCCCATTCCCTGGAGGTTAGGTGGTGGTGGGGCTGAGAGTTCCAGCCCTGTAATCATGGGGGTGGTTCCTCTGGCCACCAGCCCCATCCTAAGGCTGTGGAAGCCAGCACAGCATAAACTCAGCTGTGGTCCAGAGGGGCTCCTTTGACTGACAGAAGACCCACCCATTACTCCAGAAATTCCAAGAGCTTTAGGAGCTCTGTGCTAATAGCTGGGGACAAAACCATATATATATTTCTTATTTTGCCACAGATTGTATTTTTAAAAAATTTTTTAAAGGTTTTATTTATTTGAGAGGGAGAGAGAGAGAGAGCACACAGAGGGAAAGTGAGAGGGAGAAGCAGACTCCCTGATGAGCAGAGAGCCTGACGTGGGGGCTCGATCCCAACCTGAGCCGAAGGCAGATGCTTAACCAACTGAGACACCCAGGCGTCCCTAAAAATTATTTTTTCTAACCAGTAAAGTTCACCTGTTTTAGAACAGTGTGACAAATTTGTAGTAAGTTTCAGTGAAGTCCAGTTTTCTTGCCATTTAGTAACTAAAACCCACATGCCTCATGTGCCCTCTTGATATCAAGAGCCAGAACCAGGAACAAGATGATCTCTGTCTTACTGACATGGCGGACGCCACAGTCATGGCAGGAAATACGTGCTGTATAGACACATCCTTAAATATTTGTCTTTCCTTTTGCTTTCTTTCACCAAAGGAGCCAGTGCATCAGTCAGATGAAAGAGCTGAAGGAGCAGTGTGAGGAGCGAATAGAAGAAGTCACTAAAAAGGGAAATGAAGCTGTTGCTTCCAGAGACCTGAGTGAAAAGAAGGACCAAAGCCAGCAGGTAATTCTGGGTTTTTTTCTGCCTCGGCTTCCAGAAGGCGTTCTGTTCCCTTGTCTGCTGTCTGATTTGCTCTTATCTCTGCTCTCCCTTGCGGGTTTTGCTCCGGAGCTGAGACACGCCGGCCAGTCCCGGGATGCTGCGACTCTGACAGGGCATGCTGGGCTCTGGCCTTGTCCTTGGGCTCAGAGCTTTACCAGGGTTTCTTCATTTAAAGTCTACAGCCACCATGGGAGAGAGTTGCTGTTGTTCTGTTTTGGAAGCCCTGAGCCCCATGGGGAGGGCTGGTCAGTGGCAGGGCTGATGAGTGCCCACGTAGGTGGGGTTCATGCTCGGCCCGTGAAGCCACTGCTCGAAGCCTTCAGGAAATCTGTGTTTGTTGGTTTTAAATATAGCAGCTTTATTGAGAGATAATTCACAGACCATACAATTCACCCATATAATAGTTACAATTTGTTGGTTTTTAGTATAGTCACAAAATTGTGCAGCCATCCTCACAGTCAATTTTAGAACACTTTCATTCCCCCAAATAAACCCCATAACCATTAGCTCTCCCCATTCAGCCCTAGAAAACCATTAATCTACTCTCTGTCTCTGTTTTGCTTTATCTGGACATATTCATATCAGTAGAGTCATATGCTGTGTGACTTCTTGTGTCTGTATCCTTTCACTTAGTGTAATGCTTTCAAGGTTCATCCACATGTCTGCATGTATGAATACTTCATTCCTATTTATGGCTGGATAGTTTTGTGTGGATAGGCCACATCTTGTTGATTCATTTGTCAGTTGATAGGTATTTGGGTTATTTCTAGTTTTAGGCTTATTATGAATAATGCTGCTATGAATATTCATGTAGACATTTTTTTTTTTTAAAACAAAGATTTTATTTGACAGAGAGAGACACAGGGAACACAAGCAGGGGGAGTGGGAGAGGGAGAAGCAAGCTGTTCAGGGAGCCCGATGTGGGGCTCCATCCCAGGACCCTGGGATCATGACCTGAGCCGAAGGCAGGTGCTTAACTGACTGAGCTACTCAGGTTCCACCTTTTTTTAAATTTTAATTTTTTAAAAATATTTATTTATCTTAGGGGGGGTGGGGGGAGCAGAGAGAGAGAGAGAATCTCAAGCAGACTCCCCACTGAGCACAGAGCCTGATGCGAGGCTGGATCTCAATACCATGAGATCATGACCTGAGCCAAAACCAAGAGTCAGATGCTTAACTGACTGAGCCACCCAGGAGCCCCTCCAACGTTGTTCTTTTTAAAGACGATTTTGGCTATTCTGTGCCAGTTGATTTTCCATATGAATTTTAGGATCTGCTTATCAATTTCTTCAAAGCCTGGTGGGATATAATTTGAAATTATATTGAATCTGTTGATCAGTTTGGAAGTACTGCCATCTTAACAACATTAAGTCTGCTGTTCTATGAATGTGGGATGTCCTTCCATTTATTTAAGTCCTTTAAAAATCTCTCAAACAGGGCACCTGGGTGGCTCAGTTGGTTAAGCGACTGCCTTCGGCTCAGGTCATGATCCTGGAGTCCCAGGATCGAGTCCCGCATTGGGCTCCCTGCTCGGCAGGGAGTCTGCTTCTCCCTCTGACTCTCCTCCCTTTCATGCTCTCTGTATCTCATTCTCTCTCTCTCAAATAAATAAATAAAATCTTAAAAAAAAAAAAATCTCTCAAACAACGTTTTGTAGTTTACAGAAGTCTTGTACTTTTTTTTGTTCAATGTATTTGTATTTTTTATGCTATAAGTGGAATTGTTTTATTTTCATATTCTTTGCTAGTGTGTAGAAATACAGTTCATTTTTTCATATTTATCTGCTATATAGCAACCTTGCTGAACTTTATTTTAATAGTATTTTTTGGTACGTGATTCCTTTGAATTTTCTATATATGGTGTAGGAAAGAGAGTTTTACATTTTCCTTCCCAATCTGGATACTTTTTGTTTCTTTTTATTGCCTAATTGCCCTGGCTAGAACCTCCATTCAGTGTTAAACAGAAGTGGAAGAACAGATATCCTTGTTCTTGATCATGGAGGGAAAACATTCAGTTTTTACCATTAAGTTTGATATTAGCTGTGTGTTTTCATAGATGGACTTTTATCAAATTGAGGAAGTTCCCTTCTGTTCTTTTGTGGTTTTTTTTTTTTAAAGATTTATTTATTTTAGAGAGCATGTGTGAGAGGTGGGAGGGGCCGAGGGAGAGGGAGAGACAGAATCTCAAGCAGACTCCCCACTGAGCACAGAGTCTGAGGTGGGGCGCCCATCTCATGACCCTGAGATCATGAGCCTGGAGCTGAAACCAAAAGTCAGACGCTTCATCGACTGAGCCACCCAGGCACCCCTTCCCTTCTGTTCTTAATTGTTGAGTGTCTTTATCAAGAGGTGTTGGATTTTGTCAAATTCTTTTTCTCCATCTGTTGAGATGATCATGTGTTTTTTGTCTTTCGTGCTATTGATATGGTATTACGCTGATTTTTAGATGTTTCACCTTGCATTCATGGGATTTATCCCACTTGGTCATGGTATATAATCCTTTTATATGTTGCTAGATTTGATTTGCTAGTATTTTGTTAAGGATTTTGGTGTCTATATTCGTAAGAGATATTGGCCTGTAGTTTTCTTGTAATGTTTTTGGTTTTGATATCCAGTAATATTGGGCTCATAGAATGAGTTGGCATATTCCTTTCTCTCATTTTTTTTTGGGGGGGGGCGGGGAAGTTTGAGAAGATCTGGTATTGATTCTTTAATAAATTCTTTAAATGCTTGGTGAAATTCACCAAGCTTAGTGAAGTCATCTGGGCTTGGGCTTTTCTTTGGGGGAGGTTTTTAAATTACTAATTCAATCTCTTGTTATAAGTCTATTCACATTTTCTATTTTTTAAAAAAAATTTGAGACTGAGGGAGCCGGTGCAGGGGCAGAGGGAGAGAATCTTCAAGTACACTCCTGGCTGAGTGCAGAGGCCAACATGGGGCTTGATCTCACAGCCCATGAGATCATGATCTGAGCCGAAACCAAGAGTCAGACACAACCGACTGAGCCACCCAGGCGCCTCTCACATTTTCTATTTCTTGAGGCCGTTTTGGTAGTTTGTATTGTTCTAGGAACTTGCCTAATGTCCTCTAAGTCATCACAGTTGACATACAGTTATGCATGGTGTTCCTTTTTAATATTCTTATTTGTGTAAGTTCAGTAGTGTTATCCCATCTTATTTTTTATTTTAGTAATTTTTCTCTTTTTCTTGGTTAATCTAGCTAAAGGTTTGTCAATTTTGTTCAAATTTTCAAAGAACTAACTTTGATTTCATTGATGTTCTCTATTGTTTTTCTATTCTGTATTTCATTAATTCCTGCTCCAACCTTTATTATGTCCTTCTTAGGTTCTGTTTGCTCTTCTTTTTCCAGTATCTGAAGGTGAAAGATTAGGTTACTGATATGAGATCTTTCTTTTTTCTTTTTCTTTCTTTTTTTTTTTAAAGATTTTATTTATTTATTTGACAGAGAGAGAGATAGCGAGAGCAGGAACACAAGCAGGGGGAGTGGGAGAGCGAGAAGCAGGCTTCCTGCCGAGCAGGGAGCCTGATGTGGGACTCGATCCCAGGACCCTGGGATCATGACCTGAGCCGAAGGCAGACGCTTAACGACTGAGCCACCCAGGCGCCCGAGATCTTTCTTTTTTCTTAATAAAGACTTGCAAATTTCCCCCTAAGCACTGCTTTAACAGCCTCCCATAAGTTTGGTATGTCATGTATTTGTTTTTTCTCAAGCTACTCTCTCATTTGCCTTGTGATTTCTTTGACCCATTGGTTTAATTTAGGAGTATGTTGTCTAATTTCCACGTTTGTGAATTTCTCAAATTTTATTGTCACTGATAATCTCATTCCATTGTGATTGACATCATACAAAGTATGTTCTCCAATTATTTCAAATTTGTTAAGGCTTGTTTCCTTGCCTAACATCTGTCCTGGGGAATGTTCCATGTGCACTTGAAGAATGTGTTTTGCTCTTGTTGGGTCAGTGTTCTATAGAAGTCAGCCTGGTCTGGTTTATCATTCAGGTTATCCTTGTCCTTGTTGATCAGACCATTAGAAACCTACTTGTTAATCCATTATGGAAAGTACTTTCTGGGAGATCGTAACATCAGAGCTTTGGATTTACGCCAGATGGCATGGTACAATTGGGGTAGATCGTGGCATTTCTCAGGGCTTTGGTGTTTTGTCAGAAGGATGTCCATTGCATTGCTTGGGTTTGTTGTGAGGTGTAAAGTCATAGAGCCCTGGCTGTTGTGTGATTCTGTTTCAGCTCCGAGCCCCCAGTGAGCCTCAGCCCAGGCCACAGGAAGCGGACCTGCCCCAGGCAGAGGTGCCTCAAGTGAAAGGAAGCATGCCCAGCAATGGTGATCCCCAGACACCAGTCCCCAGTTCTGAGGCGGCTTTGGATTTGAAGAGACAAGGTGGGAAAAGTAAGTGAAGCTTGGTGATTAAGCATTTAAGCTCTCTCTAGAATAACCATCGTGGCGGTTTGTGTCCAACATCTTTGCACATGGCCTCCACAACAGAGTATCCTTGTGGGAGGCAATTGGTGAGCTGGGTTTGGGCTGCCAGAGGCAGGTAAAGTTCTCTCTGGGCACCTGGAATTGGGGCCCTAGGGCTTTCCTTGTCTTACTGTCATCCTTGTAAAGTGAGTGCCTTGTTCTCTGGCAGCTGTGTAAAGGTCCGGGCTGTGCCTTACTGAGGACATCACTGGGACTGTGTGATAGGGGAGATGGTTGAGACCTGGGCAGCCGTCCCGGGAACGGGGGCTGCTGTGTCTCTGGGGAGTGAGTCCTTGGTAGACTGGCAGGCCCTGCACCCAAGTACTTGTCCAGACACACAGGAGGGTCAGATCACTTCAGCTGATAGATTGTCACTGAAATCAGGAGAACTTGTCCAGACCTTTTTCCTAAACCACTTCTCTCTTATGGTTCTGAAGATGAGCTGCAGGTATAGAGAAGCCTGCAGTCTTTGCAGTCACAGAATAAGTTACCCAGTTGCTCCTCATCCAGCCCTTGGGAAGACTCTGGGAATTGAGTGGTATGAGGGGTTTTGTTTTTATTTTTTTTTAATTTTTTTTTTAAAGATTTTATTTATTTGACAGAGAGAGCACAAGCAGTGGGAGTGGCAGGCAGAGGGAGAGGGAGAAGCAGACCCCACAGAGCAGGGGAAGCCCGATGCAGGACCGGATCCCAGGACCCCAGGATCATGACCCGAGCCGAAGGCAGTCGCTTAACCAACTGAGCCACCCAGGCGCCCCTGTTTTTGTTTTAATTAAAGTAAATGCTAGTGAGGTCACAGCTAACTGTGTTCTCTGTACAGAGGAAATCAACGAGATTCAGGTCGCCAGTGAGGAGCTTCCAAGGGACAGCCTGGGGCTGCCCCGGGAGCCAGGCCAAGAGCAGGCTGTGGAGGAAGGCCGACCAGTGGGTGGAAGAGGCGTTGGAGAAGCTGAAGCAGTTGGCCGAACGCCACAGGTGCCAGGAGTGATGCCGGCGAGCCAAGAAAATCAGGACACGGAGGACCTGGAGCGGGACCAGCTTGTCATCCCCGATGGGCAGGAGGAAGAGCAGGATGCTGATGAGGAAGGTGGGTGAGCTGCTCCAATGGGCTGTCTGCTGACTCCTTTCCACTGCTCTTCGTGTGACGCTGGAAGGGCCCCTGTGAAAGCCCGTTTGCGATTTGGCTAGTTCTTCTGGTTTGTTGGGTCTCTGTTACCAGGTAGGAGGAGGGAGGGAAGAGCAATGTGCTCACCAGCAGTTGGATTTGTCAGAATTAATATTCACAGGGAGTCCGCAGTGTTTGGGGGGGCTTTCAGGTGGAAGGCCTTGAGGTGGGTGCTTAGCATCAAGTGAATGTAGCCCCCGCACTGGACCCTGTGCCCTGCCTGTGTGTCCGCATCTCCACCCGCACATGGTGTCACCACCAGTGCCCAGTGAATGGGATTGGGTAGATGGGGTTTCATGCATATTTGAGCATGGCAGCAAAGTGACCTGTGAATCCTATCTGGTTTGGTGGACTTTTTTTTTTAAGATACATAGAAGTGTGGGGAAACTGAGATCAACACAATATTCTGGGATGTATTTGGGTCCCTAAAAGCTGTGGAAGACGTCACTCCCAGCCAAGCCAGGAACACTTGTGAAGATACCTGTGCTCTGGGACGAGCCACTAACAAGAGTGGGGGAATGTGCCTATTTGTGGAAATCACCCTGTTTCCAGATCTCGTTTGCACTTGAGTTTTTCTTTCTGAAGACTGTTCTCTCACGAGGTTTCGGTTAAAGAATTAAAAAGAAGAGGAAACTCCGGTGGCCAATCCAGTGGCACTCAGGTTTCAGACTGGCCACAGAGGGTAATATCTGAGGATTGGCTTGAGGTCCTGCAGGATACACATCATCCTGGTGCAGCTGTCAAATAAAGCGGCAGGGCCCAAAGGTGTGGCCTTTGCCTCCACTTCAGGCAGTGAGTGCAGGGGGATGTAACTAGAGCCAACTCTCCCAGACCCGCGTTTTAAAAAAAGATTTTGTTTACCTACCTATATGTGTATAAAAGACATTCACAGGAAAGCCTATGAATATGTCTCTCTTTTTTTTTTTTTTTTTTTTTAGATTTTATTTATTTGAGAGAGAATGAGATAGAGAGCATGAGAGGGGGGAGGGTCAGAGGGAGAAGCAGATTCCCTGCTGAGCAAGGAGCCCGATGCGGGACTCGATCCTGGGACTCCAGGATCATGACCTGAGCCGAAGGCAGTCGCTTAACCAACTGAGCCACCCAGGCGCCCTGAATATGTCTCTTGAACGCCTTTTGTCCTGATCTTTTCTGGTGGTGGTTCTCTGCAGGGCTGAATGTGGTGATGCATGATCTAATTCTGTAGGGATGATGGAAAATCCTTTGGCACTCAGTAGCCTCTCCATTTGCTTCTGTCAGAGCCACAAGCCATTCTGAGGAGGTGCCGTCATTAACTAGAAACCTGTTGTTTCCAGCAACAGCAGCGCCTTCCTTTAACCTCGAGTTGATGGTCTCTTAAAAAAAAAAAAAAAAAAAAAAAAAACCCACCACCCAGGATTTGGGGTTAATTAGCTCATTTCCCTAGCTCCAGCCCAGAATACAGCCCTGTGTCGAGGGCCACAGTTTCTATGGACTCCGTTGAAGCGGGGGTGCCAGGGAAGTGGAGAACTCGCACCTGCTGTTCGTACCGGCAGCAGGCACACAAGTGCCCACCGTTCTCTGAGAGGTCGCAAGACGACCTGACTGTTGAGCCGTGACTGCGAAAAACCCCGGTTCCTGGGCTCTGGTGCCCCTGCGGCCTCGAGAGAGTCATGTGGGTTGTGTTCTCTGTGCCTGTGCTCATTTTGCAGGGAGACACCAGCAAAAGCTAGGAGGAGAGGAGAACTACAACATGGATGAAAATGAGGCAGAATCGGAAACAGATAAGCAGGCAGCCCTCGCAGGGAACGACAGAAACCTGAACGGTAAGAGGTGTGCCGAGGCGGTGGGCCTGCCTTGAACTTCACATTGTGGTCCTTCGTTCACTTTCGCAGTGACTAAACACTGAATCCCAGCACTAATGTTGTAAGTAATCCATCCAATCCAGAAGCCTTTGAACGTGGGGCCGTGGAGGGAGGGGAGGGTTGAGAAGTCCAAGGTGAAGACCTTTCAGAAGGTCTGTGTGTTTAGGGGGCTCCAGCCCTCAGGTGTTGGCTGGAGGATTTGTCTTCATGACATCTAGGGATTTCCCAACAGATGGCTAGGTCACCACTTGATCACTCTGTATCAGCAGTCAAAAAGCCCTAACATCTGCACGGTACTTCTAGGCAGCTTTTTATAGTAGCACTTTGTTATCATTTTGAATTTTAAAGGGTCTGGGCCTGTGGGATGTATCAGATTCTGGATTTGTCCATTGGCTTGTGATTCGATTCAGGTTGGATGATATTTGCAGCTGCAGTGTGCTCTTCTTGCTTCCCACCAGGAGGCAGGCCCCGGGCAGGTTGACGGCCTGGTTAAGGCACTGCCATTTTCCCTTTGTAACTGAGAAGTCATGTGGAAGGGGATGCTTTGAAATGGTGTGGCTTTAGCGTCCATTGAAAACCCTTGTCTGATGGTGACTTTTCTAATGCTGTCACCCTGCCACATATCCTCTTGTAGTATCATGTGGTTTCATGGTTCTCTTTAAGAATTTTTTTTTTTTTTTTTTTTTTGAGCGAGAGAGTGAGAGAGAGATCACAAAGGGGGGGGGTGCAGAGGGAGAGGGAGAAGCAGGCTCCCCGCCAAGCAGGAAGCCCGACATGGGGCTCGATCCCAGGACCCCAGGACCATGACCCGAGCTGAAGGCAGACCCTCAACCGACTGAGCTACCCAGGTGCCCCCCATGGTTCCCTTTTTTAAAATTCATTTTTCTATCAGATTCTTAATGTTTCCTTTCCTAGTTGTTAAGAGATCTTTATATGCTAGGGAGATTGCCCTTTATCTGTGGTGTAAGTTGTAAATACTTCTTCCCAGTTTGTGTTTTGGTTTTATGTATGGTGTTTTTTGCCATGTGAATGTTTCAAAACTTCTATGTCTTTTCTTTTATTGCCTCTGGGTATTGAATCATAGCAAGTTTTCCCATCTAGTGTTGGAAGGAATTCATCTGTGTGTTTAAGTATGCTTTCACATTTTTCTTTTAGTTCTATTAAAAAGTAAAACACAAATTCAGAAAACCACACAAAGCAAATGTCTTTAGAAGGTAAATACCATGTAACTGTGTCCCCACTCACCTCAAGGACTAGAACCTGACCAGCCCTCCAGAGGCCAGTCTTTCCCCATAATAGCACCCCCTATCCTGACCTTTCTAATAGGCATTTTCTTGCATTTCTTTATGGGCTTATCACTCAAGTGGGTATCCCTGGACACCAGTTTAGTTTTGCCCGCTTTCTTAAAATTGATAGCTCTTTAAATGTCTCTTAGTCTACAGGTTCCCCCTCCATTCCTTTCCTCCATTTGCCCTGGAGTTTTCCACAGTCCTTATAGTGCTGACTGTACATTCATAGTGCCATTTTAGTATGTTCTTTTTTCCTTTCTATTTCCCGAATATTGGCAGCTGATATCCAGAGGCTTGGTTCAGGTTTGGGCTCAAGCCCTTGGTAAAGTGGGAGGCAGTGGTGTGTTCTTTCATCAGGAGGCAAGGAACACCTTTCTTTTTGTGACATAAGTAGCAGTTGTTGTTCATTAATTCATTCATGGTATTCTAATTCAGCTTTTTCTATTCCATTGGTTAACTAGGATATTTTTATAAATAGGCAAGTCAGTGGTTTTATTTCTATAACATAGGCAGGATAAAAATGCTTGATTCTTTTTATTTACCCATTTTCAAAATAATTATTTCCCTGTCTTCCTCTGAGGATGATATTTAAAATGCAAACTCAGTGGACTTAAACCTATTTGATGGGTTTCGTTCAACTGTATTTATTACCCTTTTTGAAGTTGAGGTTGTCCCATCTTTTTTGGCCAGTGGGACCTTCCCCACTTTAATCTGAACCTTCAGGTCCTTTGTCTCTTGTTCCTGTCCTGCTCAGCCACGGCTCTCCTCCACACTCAGCTGTTCTCCTCCCCCCCTACCCCCATGGGGCTCTACCTGGGAAGGAGCCCCAGAAGGGAGTCCTGGCAAATGAGTTTCAGAAGTTCATGGGGCTCAGCCTCCCCTGGCCCCTCAGTCCTTACCATAGGAAAGTACTTTGTGGTCACCTGCTGCGGGAGTAGCAGAAAGTCTCCTGCTTTCCAGTTGCAGTTTATCCATTGGCCCAGGTACTTTTGGGTGTAAATCTTTTGGTTGTTTGGGGTTCTCCTGTTCTGTTCTCAGGTCCATCAGGTGCTCCATTGCTCCTGTTTTCTTCCTAGACAGTGTTAGCATACAGGCACTGGCCATTGTCTTTGTCTCTGCTTGTATTTTGGGGTCTGCAGGATTCCTTGCCATCTACTCTTATAAATGTCTGATTGGAGTTTTTCAGTGTAGTCACTTTATGTAAGGACCCTGAAATTCAAAAACTATGCCACTGTTATCACCATTTTTCCAAGATCATCATCATGTTTTTATATTTTACATTTAGATCTCTTAATTCATAACTAATTTCAAATGTATTCAGGTATTGTGGCGCAAGGTTGGGTCCAATTTTCTTGTTCCTAAGGGCTGTCCAGTTGGCCAAACACCAGCTCAAAGCCACTGATTTGAGGTGCCACCTTTACCAAATAGATTTCTGTATGTACTCAGGTCTACTTTTCACTTTCTGTTCCATTGATTTCCCTGCTGACTCACACTATACCACAATTCTAAAAGCTCCGTCCCCCGCTCCCCCCCCCCCTTTTTTTTATCTGACAAGGCTACTTCTGGGAGATTACAGCCAAGATATCTTTGAATAATGCTTCTTCCCATTTTGATTCCTTCTTAAACTCGTATCAGAAATGTTAGATCTTACCATTCTATTCATGTCTCTTACCCTTTTTTTTCATATTACCCATTTCTGCTTCCCTGATCTACATTCAGAATGACTTCCTGAGACAGCTTCGAGTTCACCAATTTTTCCTTCAGCTATGCCTTATCTGTTCTTTAATTCATGCTTTTTAAATTTTTTCATTTCTAAACGTTCTTATTTACAAACATCTTTTATTTCTTTAAATGTATCAGACTTTTATCTTCCAGTTGCAGTATCTGAAAACCTTGTATTTCTTTTATCAGACTGGCTTAGGATACCTTCTTTCCTTGTGTTTTGTGCTTTAACTGTGAGCTACTAGTTTCCTGAGAACTTTTATCTGTAGGAAGCCTCTGGGGCCTGAGTTAGAGCAGTACTGCACTAGGGGTTGTTTGCCTCTATCAGTCTCAAGAAGGGCACTACAAAATCACCACCTCTTTAATAAGGTAAATTCTCTTCAGGTATTTTTTGGATCACACAGGGAACGTGAGTTCTAACTGTATACTTGCACGGTCATCTCATATAGTTCAGAAGTCCTATTCCCCAGTCTAACCACTAGGCTTTCTTGCTGTCCCATCTTGACTGCAGACTTCTCCATTACCTTTAATCCAAGACACGAGCCTTTGGGAGTTTCAGCTCTATCTAGGAGTCCCCTTCTGGACTTACCATCCAGAGTGGAGCCCTTGTCTTTAGTTTTTGTCCCTCTGCATCTTTGGAAGCTGTAAAGGGAGAAGCCCGGTGTCTTCAGGCTTCAGAAGTCCTCAGGGCAGAGCTAGCTTTGATGTTTATTACCTTCAGGAGTTGGAACCTTTCACTCCACGTTTGGCCTCACCGATTCCTTCTTCTGTTGCCATTATAGACAGTGCATTTTAGTGTCTTTAAAATTTTTAACTTTTCAATTTGAAAATAGATTTTAATTTAAAATAGAATTTCCATATACCTTTCACCCAGGTTCCCCAAATATTAACATCTTATATAACCATAGTACAGTTATTGAAATGACATTAATATTGATACAATGCTATTATTCAAATTTAGTGAACTGTCCAACTTAATATCCCTTTTCTGGTCCAAGATATAATAATCCAGGATTATATACTGCATTTATTGTCACACCTCCCTAGGGTCCTTTAACCCAAAACCATCTGTTTTTATCTTATGATGTTGATAGTTTTTGAAGTGTTCTGGCCAGTTATTTGGTAGAAAGTCTCTCAGCTTGGGTTTGATTCAACAGTGCGTTCTTTAAAATATCTTTTCATATTTCATCTAGCATGTCAGTTATTACAGTTGGTAGAATTGTTTGAGGTTTTCTAGAAATAGGAGTTCTAACTTGATTTTTAAATGTTCTTAGACTATACTTAAAACATGAACATATTATCAAGTCAGAATTTTAAACAAAGTTTCTTTTTCTGTTCCTGTCATCGAGTCCACTCATTTGTGTACCCCAGTCCTTGACTGTTTGCTGGTGTGTTACTGTCTTAACATCCCTTTTACTGTCCTTTCAAATCAGTCTAGTGTCCTAAATGTTTGGCTTTGCAGTAGAGCCCTGGGATCTTTCATCCCCTACACACAGGTATCCCATGAATTTGACCTTGTACAAGGCTTCAAACAAAGGACGCAGGCAAAGAAAAATGTTCTGTAAGCTTTAACAGTTCCAAGAATTGTCATCACCATCACGTTAAGATTCTATCATTAAAAATAGTTTAAGACCCTCCCTGCTTGCTCCAGGGAAATTAGAAGAAAAAGGCATTAGTTCCAACTTTATTAGAGAACTTTAAAAGACAATATTAAGGCAGTCATTTAATTCATTTAATAAAATCATTAACCATTTACTGTGTCGTAGTTGTAAATCAGCATGGTGGTTTTAGGTTTTGTGAGGTCTTTGTATGTCCTTTGTGTGTTGAAGGAGAGTAAGGATGATGGGTGCCACATACAGACACATACAGTAAAGGAGAAGCTTTGGAGTAATAAGAACTGACTGAAGATGCAGGTAGCTCTTAGGGCATTGTGTTTCCTGTTGGGAGGGATACCAACAGGGATGCATGGAGCACAGACGGGTTGTGGTTGTATCACAAATCTTATATTTTATATTGTCCACTTTAGAGGACATGGGGCATTATTTCAGTATTTCAAATAGGAAGTTTTTTAGATGTTTTAGCTTTATTTCATGGCACCATGTTGGCCATACGTGTAGTCTGTTCACTGTCTTGTCCTTGATTAGGAATGCAATCCCCCATTACGTTGCTGAGGGAGATACTGTCCTCTTGATGAGGCAGTCTCTCGATAGTTAGGTCAAACAGAACCTGCCTGGCTGGTTTCCCCTAAATGTTTTAATGTTAGATTATGGTTATTTCTTTTCTTTTTTAGTTCTTAATGCTGGAAATCAGAAAGGAGACGTAAATTTACTTGATCAGCGTGAAAAGAGGAATCACACAGTCTGAATCAACTGGAATCATATACTTCATGTCAGGATTGAACAGAGATCACTACAAAATATGAGGGGTTGAATACTGTGAAATGTACTAAAATATACATCTAAAGATGATTATTGTGGAGTTTTAATATGTACTTCATGTAGGAAAATGACTGTGTTGTAGATGGTTTTTTTGAAGTATTTTTACTAAGGTGTCAGAATTTGTCAGCTAATAGGTATGAGAAGATCAGCGCCAAAAACAGAACCCAAGTTCTCCAAGTATGGTGACAGTGGCACTTAAAAAATTCTGGAATGTAACTTTGTTTAAAAAAAATCAAAGCCTGTAGAAGAGTCTGTCTTCTGACACCAAGAGACCCACCGCACCTGAGAATTCTTCTCTGGTCCCTCTGGTGTCCCGCTTCACACGCTGTGCTGAGTGGCCGGTACCAGCCCGGTATTTGTTCTCACAGGTCAGTGCCGAACGATTCCTGGCTTATACTCTCATGCGCTCACTTCTGGTTCCGACAGTCAGTGGCCTGGAGTACAAAACTGTTAACACAAACATCACTAGCGACAGTTTTAAACAAGTCTACATACAAAGACATTTTATGTGAGAATTTTTAAAAAAACTTCTATAACCTTTGTCATTATGTACAAAAATGCTTCTCAGTGACTTGTAATTTGAATATTTGTGATCTCTCAGTTTGCTTAGTATGTGTGGGCAAAGCAAAATCTTCTCTATTAAGTCCCTATTACCAAGAGCCATGAGTGGATTAGACTTTTGACACAACAGGGGCCAAACCAGAGCTGACCCTGGGGCCTGTAGCAGAGCACGGGGCGGGGAGAGGGGGCAGCACAGCACTGCGGGGGCACGTTTGCTGTGGACTGTCCACTGCACCATTACAGGAAAAGGAGAGGAAGTTGATGTTAAGAGTATATACAGTGTGACACGGGGAAAGTTTAGAAAGGCAAGAGAAATTAACAGTTGTTTTTGCCATAGTCTATACATTTGGCTTGTGGTCAATTGACTATCAAACGTGATTTAAAAATCAATGTTAATTTGAAAAGGACTAATCATAATTCACATTGAGTTGCTTCTCCGTATTTCCAGTAAATAGGCTCTTTCCATTTACTAATGACTGGCAGAGTCACACTAATGACTCTCAGGTCTTAAGGGTGAGTGGGTAGTGATATTAAATACAAGTCAGAGGATTTGAGATGCAGGAGCCTCAGATCACCTGCTATAACCACTCAACTTCAGACAGGAACCGGGGGTCCAGAGAAGTTAAAGAACTACACAGGCCAGACAGCTGGTGAGCTGGATGCCTGGCCCCTCACCTGGTCTGGACTCATGGTGCCCCTGGCTGGCACTGAAGGCAGGACCTGGTTTGCATTCAGGTTAAGATCTCCAATGTGAATGTTACTCATGTAGGTACCTTTTTACTTAATTACGAAGATTAAACTTTTCTACCCGGAAAAGGCAACTAACGAAGAGTGTTAAAAATAGCCTTGTAAGGTTTTATCTAAGCCCTTGTCCAACTTCTCTTTGTGTCTTAGCCTTAGGATAATCTCTCTTGCCTTTTCAATAAAACGTCTATTCATTCCATGTTTAATCAGTGTGCACAGAGTTCTAAGAAACAAGACTGTTAGTTCAGCTGCTTTGTTTTCCTTTACTGCCCTATTGGATTCCTGAAGAATCAGCTTGCAAATTATAGATTAAGAATGGTGGTTTGCCTTAAACCTTTTGTGGACTGAGATGGGATGTCAATATAAATAAAAAATAACCACGCTGTTTCCATCTTCATGTACAAAGGCACCAAAGGCCATTTGTTCAGGAGGTGTGTACTGTGAGTAATCTCTCCAGTCATGATTTCTTACCACCGGCTTACCTTGACATCACATAGGCAACCTATTCTGAGGCAACAATTTATAGAGGTGTCATGGCTTTTTTTTTTTTTTTTTTTAAAGCAAAACAAAAACCTGTGTAATACGGAAGTAGATGGCAAACCCCCCACTTTGGTCTTCTGGTTTCATCCAAAATTAATCAGCAGCTATTCCAATTTTTAATAGGTGTGAACTATTTAATTTACACCTTCCTCTGTATTCTCAAATGGTATGTAGACAGGAATGTGATGACTCTTTTCTTCTCCAGATGGGACTGTAGATTCCCTGCGCGATACTCAGACTTTTTGAGTAATGAAAGCACTGCACATACTTAATGTACTTTTGTGTGATGGAATTTGACAAACCAATACCTGTTAAGTCAGTGTGCGGTCATTAAATAACTAGATTGGTAACTGGCATGATTGTTTTGATAGTAGTTGGTCAGCTATTCTTAGCAGAACCTAGAGTGGTGCAAGACAAGTGTGAATTCAGGAGCCTTTAAGGTCCAAGGGCTTGGTCTACTCCCACTAAGAGATTACTATAAATAATTGATAGTTTATAGAACACTCAACTTCTAATCCTTGTCTCTGAATTTTACGAAAAATACAAAAAGATTCCATGAATTGTAGGGTTTTTTTTTCCCCACATTGTTAGACTTTGAAAATGTTCGTTAGTGTCAAAGTTGGGGAAATAATAGTTTGTGTATTTAAATGTTTGTGTACGAAGCCACTATCCCTTAAAAACTGGCTTATAAAATTGAGTAATTCTTCAATCTATAAATTATCCCAAAGTTGGTATCATCACATGTACTTTTGAAAAAGCTCAAGTAAAATGCTTCCATCCTTGTTGGTGTGCCTGTGAAACACATCTCTGGGAAAGTTAAAGGACTTGAAATATTTTCTTTAAATTTATGCATAAACTTCACATAATGAGTTTTATAAACCAAGGCCCTAGCCAGTTGAAACAAATGCTTGTGTTCCTATCTTTACTGCTTAGAATAAAATGATACCATCTAATGTAGAATAAAAATCCACGGCAGCATGAGCCAGGAAGAGGAATGGGCAGCAAAGGAAGGGTAGGGCCTCTGGTGCTGGGCACTTACAAGGTACAGGTGGCAGCAGATACTGGAAAGATCCCCACTTGAAAACGCTGCATGGGTTAAACTGAATATTCAGTAGTGAACAAAAAGTATGCCACACTGAAACCTAACCCTAAAATCTACACATTCCTACCTCTTGAATAATGTCACTAGCAAACATTTTGCATGTTTTAAAGGTGCCAAAAGGAACAGTTAAAGGATGATTTTTAAAAAAACCTCTATATTCTTATAGGTATATAATTTAAGACATCATGACACACAAAATCACAGTCCCCACGTAATTTAGTCTCCCTAGACAGAGGTTCCCCCCACCCCGCATATTCCCTTTTAAATGTATTTTACCAAAACCCCATTCAAGTGTTTGATCAATCGTTTTGAAACTTCTTTTGAATCTGTTTGAACTATTCAAGTAAAACACCTTCAGTCCTTAACATGCATCAACAAAGTGCTGTGGTTTTTCATTTCCAGTAGTGCATTTTTTTGTCAAGAAATTTATTAACTTTACAAACACTATTTTCACTCATTCATAAAAAAAGATTTATGATTAAATCTGTAATAAAACCATATAACATTCATAACATTCATCACTGCATTCAGTAAGCCCAGTTTCATCCATGGAACATAACAAACCACTTTAAAACAGCAGTTTTCATTCACGTCGTATAAGGCTGTCAAATTAAAAGTATTTCTTATAATATAGGCTGTTATCCAAGAAATCCATTTCACTTCATGTTATGTGCTGAGACTGACGGATGGATCCCCTTAGAATCTGAAAGTAGATTCTGCCCCTTGATGTCCCCCCTTTCAGTGTCTCTCAAACAAGTTTCACAACAGGAAAGTATTTGTGAGCAGAGAAATCAAATTCAGGAGGAACCTGTAAAGAAAGGCAGAAAGTAAACAAATGTATCTACAAATATTCAGACAGTACAGTATTTTAGTTTCTCCCAATTTTAGAGGTAAGGCAGCACGAGAGAGGAAAAAAACCTGGTTTAATGACAAAGAAGACAGGAACTAACCTGGAGGGAAAACAATGAGCTTATCTCTGGGTTTATGAAAGGGAACAGTTAACAAAGGCAACTGGACTTAAATCACAGGGAAGGGTGGTGGGTCAGCACACTTCAGTTCCTGGGTCATGGACAGTACTAAGCAACGAAACCGTGTGTATAGTAAAGCACGGCAGAAGATGAGGACGGCAGAGAGCAAGCCGCGATGGGAGTCGACAGAGGTACATGTAGGTGTGCCAATGCTCAGCAGGCACATGTTGACACAACATCAGCAAGGGAAGCTGACAGAATTTACCATCTCTCGAGCCGTTAAACAAAGACTTCATTACTGAGGCATTCACTTTTCTAAAGGCAGATGACTTTTTAAATCTCTCTCCCATAATAAATTTGTTTTCACACATTTTCTGTTTTACTCTTACTCGTTCACAGTAACTTAGACAAAGGAGGGAGGGGCATGGAAGGGCAGACTTTAGAAATTTTAAGTCAATAAAATCTCTTAAGTTTCAAAGCAAAATGGCAAGCTCTAGTTATTTTCTGCCCCTGAACCTATTTTTTATTTTCGTTTTAAAGATTTTATTTGACAGAGAGAGAGAGGTAGAGAGAGAAAGAAAGGGCACAAGCAGCAGGAGTGGCAGAGAGAGAGGGAGAAGCAGGCTTCCCGCCGAGCAGGGAGCCTGATGCAGGGCTCAATCCCAGGATCATGACCTGAGCTGAAGGCAGCCGCTTAACTGACCGAGCCACCCAGGCGCCCCTGAACTCTTTTAAAGGGATGATTTTGAATGTTTTACCTTTTTGTAATATTTGTGCATCGTATTTTTTAAAAAGTTCTACAATAATTTAACACCCATTTACTTTCCCCACAATGCGCTTACCTTAGATTCCTTTTTGTGTCCTCCTGCCAGTAACTTCATGACCACAAAGTTGGGTTTGGCAACCTTTAAAATTCTATTGACCTAAACAATGAGCAACATTAAGCTATCAAAACATAAAATTCAGAGTCAAAATGTCTTTATAAGATAGGAACAAGGTGAATGTTAATTTTTTTTTTTTTTTTTGAGATTTTATTTATTTGACAGCGAGAGAGGGAACACAAGCAGGGGGAGTGGGAGAGGGAGAAGCAGGCTTCCCGCGGAGCAGGGAGCCCGATGCGGGGCTCGATCCCAGGACCCTGGGATCATGACCTGAGCCGAAGGCAGATGCTTAACGGCTGAGGCACCCAGACACCCGATATTTTATTAAATAAAGGCAACTTAACACGAACAGACATACTTCTCCGCGACCACAGAGCTCTACTTCAGTCAGCCGGGCCGCCCTGGAGGGGCCCCTGGGTCTCGCTCTCACTAAGCCTGAAGAGTGTCCGGCTGCAAAGGCGGCAGCAGAGCACTTGGGGTGCAGACTACACAGCTGGAGTGCTTGCACTTCAGGTACTAGTCATGAAACCTCTGGCAAGTTCTCTAGGCTCTCTGTTCCCCAGCTTCTTCATCTATAAGCGTGGGGACAATAACTTGACTCCCACGCCCACACAGACCTGCTGAGAGGATTACTAAGTGAGCTAATCCATACTAGAGCTGAGAACCACGCCTGGCAGGTAGGAGGTGTCCTGTGTTTACTGTCACTCCTGACTACGCTTGCCCGAAAAGTCTGACCTGAACAAATGAACAGCAGAGGACTGGAATGCTGCATTCCTCCTAAGAGGAAGTAATGTGCAACCTGAAGAAAAAAGCTCCCACTACTCGTTGCTGACTGACCTCTCTCCAGAAACACATCTCACTACAGGTTTGGAACAGCTTCTCCTCAGCCCCAGATAAACATCCGCCTGTCCAGATGACAGCTCCCTCTAGGCCTCCAATAGGCACGTCCCAACCTGAGCTCCTGACTTCTCGGCCCAGGCTCCCACCTGCCCCTGCTCCATCCGCAGCCCTCTCCACTGGTTCTATCCACCCAGCGGCTCAGGCCCAAACCCTGAAAGTCCTCCTTAACTCCTCTTTTCCGCACCCACATCCAGTCCATCGTGCTTCAGATCACCACGGTCCACACCATCTCTCACCAGATTACTGCTGTGGGTCCCTGCTCCTACCTGTGCCCCTACCACAGTCTATTTTCAGCACCGGGGCCAGAGAACCTTTAGAACAAAAATCTAGTCTGGTCACTCCTCTGCTCAAAAACCTCCAACGGCTCACCTTGTTCATCGTACTCCAGCCACACCAGTCCGTGCCCTTGGGGCCTTTACATGTGCAGATCCCTCTGCCCATAGGGCTCCATCCCCAGTGGCCATGCGACTTGCTTTTTCACCTTCTTCAGAGATTTGCTCACAGGCCACCTTAACTTAAAAATGCCTAATCCTCTGCTACCTCCCTACCTCCCTCCTCATAGTATTCACTATCCCCATTCCCAGCTTGATTTTTCATAGTCCTTACGACCTTCTAATATACTATGTAATTTATTTACCGTCTGCAACCTCCACCACCCTCAGGAGGGCTGAGATTTGTCTAGTTTTCTTCGCTAGTTTTTACCACAGGGCTGGGGACATATTAGGCACTCAACAAGTATTTGCTGAGTAAACAAATTAAGTTCACTGAAAGAAATATACCATCTGTTATAGGTACCTTCCTCTAATTTTTACATTCCCCCTTGTATTTTCTTTTATTACATGATTATATGGAACAAAAAGTCATCTCTCTCCTATTCCTGTTTCCCAAGGCACTAGGCTCCCCTCCCAGGAAGCAAACACTGTTATCAGTTCTTACATAATTCTTACATCTCTTTCTGGAGATATATTATACTCCTATAATATGTGCACACATAGAGAGTTCCTGGGCCCCTTCTGATTGAAATGGCAGCACACTCAACACAGCTTAGTACTTTGCTCTTTAAACTTCTTATATCCTGAAGAACATTCCATTACAGTATTTAACAACCGGCCTTTTCAAGACTGCACAGTATTATATGATGTATCATCACTCATTTGACAGTCTCTGTTGAGGGACAGTGAAGTTTCCTTACTTCTTTGCTATGAGAATCCTGCTGCAAGGAGGACTCCTGCGTAAACCACTTGCTTCCCTCACTGCCCACATGTGCACGTGTGTTAGATAAATCCCAAGCAGCAGAACTGCTTGGCCTAAGCATCTGTGCTTTTTTACCAGGAACTGCTACTAACTTCCCTTTCATGGAGGTTGTACCAAGATATACTCCCCAAAACAGTCTGAGTGTTAGAGGCAAAGCACTGTCACTTGTGGAATCCATGCATGTCAATATGATCAGGCATACAGCCAACTGTGAGAGCAACAAGAGGCTGCAACTCAGTATTCTCAAGT